CATCTGATGGTGGTATTTGCCGAGTAATCGCTTCCTTTTTGGCTGTAATCGAGGATTCCGGTGCTGTTGCTGTGCGTCTTGAATCTCAATGCAGAATCTTTTTCAGGAGGTCAATGAGGATCGTGTTCGACCGGCACTTCAGTGATGCCTGTGGTCTGTTCAGGAACGCACTACCGATGCACCTTGGTGCAGCAGATGCAGAGCACAAGTTTTAGCGAGCAAACTGAACGTATGCATGCATGGGTGGCTTTCGTTCGATGTATCACGTGCAAGAAAGAAGGGTAAAAGAAAAAACAGCAACACATTGCTTCTGAAAAAAAAAAAAGCAAGAAAAGTGAACTCCACCAATATACCTTTCGCAAGTTCCCAAAGCCATTTTTCCTCATTATACCACAGCGTCTTACTGCTCCTTTCTTCGCAACTGTATGTTTTGCATGGCAGCCATGCTTGCTTGGGGTCCCTGCATGTGTGTGGTGCGGGGTGGCTGGCGACCATGCTGGCGGTGCACACGCTATAACGCTTGCTCAGAAATGCAGGAACCACAGCGTACATACGTGCTTAAACTAATATCGTTATGTGCTTCTGCTACAGAGCCTCCACGGTTTGGGGCCGCTTTGACGAATGAGCCAGGCGCTAGGCTGCCTTTCTTCTCGCCAACCCATTGCTCATTGTATGTCCGCTGTCTAGGAGAAAATGCACGACCACCTTTCTAGAGACCCCATTTTTCTGCGCAAGCCCCAAAGAAAACAGAAAACATGTGTTTCAAAGCACGTTCTGATCTTTAGAACTTTGAGTGAGCATTGTCCCGAAGTTTCGGAATGCATACAGTCCCAATTGTAGAGTTCAAAGACAGGAGGCACGAACCACTCGTCCCTATCCTCGGCTGCGGGCAACGCATTCAAAGTGTGAGAAGTCAGCGAGACTTTTTTGCTTTTTTTTTTTCAGTAGCTGAGTACGTAAGCAATTCTTCGAACATGTGGTTTCACTTTGAAGACGCGTGCGCAGCATCATTTCCGGTTTAGAACTGGCCCGAGCTATTTCGGAGTTCGAGTGTGTGTGGCCACAGCGAAAGTGCATGGGCAACTCGCGTTCTTACTATCGCCAGACTCAGCCTTCCACGAATGGCATGTCGCCCGAGTTCGCTTCAAACGGGCGATGGTTTCACTGGTGCCTCGGACAACGGAAAGTGATGTTTCTGTCGTGGTGTTGATAGAGAAAATACTGTTGCTGCATATCTAAGATTGCATCGTTGTGTTTTTGGTTAGAATAAACAATCTTGGGTAACCGTTTTTGGCGAGATTGCTAAATATATCGTGTTTTTCTCTTTTTTGTAGTTGTGTTTTGCACTAAATTGCGGCTCTTCGCATTACTGTCTTTACTACTGATGTATCGCGGATTTTCGGGTGGTCTGAAGTGAACAGAGGATATCAGTTAAAGTAGGTGTGTTTGCAGTTTTATTTTCAGGTTGCGAGAACATCCAAAAGCGACAATCAGCCTCTATTTCAAGAGGAACTGAATACTTGTTCAATAAATTTAGATGAGAGAATAACGGGACGCTTCGAGCCATTTCTGGAGTACCATCCTCTGTTCCCGTTCCTCCCTCAGTTTCCCCTGCAGCCCCTCAATTCTAGCCTCCATGCGCTGCACTGCCGCCTGCGGTGCCTTGCACAACCTGCTCAAGAAGCTCGTCTTCGCCACGTTGGCCAAACTCATGTTTACTGACCCTTTAAATACACATCTCAATTACACTGATTATTGCTACCAGGTTGGTACAAAAGCTCCCCACAGTTTGCACTGTTCTTTTGTAAAACAATAGTACTTAGAGTAACAACACAAACTTTGCATTTTTACACGAGCTTTTTGTGCCATTATTTTGTGTGTCGAACCAATCAGCCCTAACCTACCCAGAGAGTAATAAGAAAAAAGATGAGCTGTTCATGCAACTAAAACGTGCATGGCCCATACAGGTGCTTCGAATTCATGTAGAGTAATAAGAAAAAAGAAAAGCTGTTCATGCAACTAAAACGTGCATGGCCCATACAGGTGCTTCGAATTGATGTGGAGTAATAAGAAAAAAGATGAGCTGTTCATGCAACTAAAACGCGCATGGCACATACAGGTGCTTCGAATTCATGGAGTCCGAAAATAAAAAATTTTCCAGCACAGGCATGTGCAAATGTCAAGGTAATAGAGGAAGCTATATTTGGGTCGAGACTTTTTTTTTACTGAGTCATTCGTTGCATGTTGGGAAATAGCCTCTCAACACAGCTTCCTCTCTAGAAATGAGATACCAAGCACACATCATCTTTGCCTGCTGACATGCTTCAATAGACGAGAGAGCCACTTCCAGTGCTTGGTATGCTTAATGGGCAGTGGGCTTCGCTACAAAGCACCAAAGGCTGCACCTTGAGTATTATTTGCCCAGTCTATCCTCGAAATGCTGTCAAGCATGTAAAATCCTTATAGCACGCATGACTGGATACACAAGATGTAAAGATCACAATATATGTTGTGTAGCTACAAAAACAGTGACACATGTAATGTGGTACTTGCAACGACCAATTATGAGGAATTGCAAACAGCTGTTCTAACAGAGAAGACTGCACCTTTGTTTGGCTTTCGTTCATGTACAGACATTGTGCAAATGGATTAAAATAAAGACACCCAACTGAATTGCACAGATTTTGAGCTTGCTAATACATGGCCAAGGTAACTATTGAAGTCATTAGAAGCATAAAATCAGAACAGCCATACAGTTTGTGCCAATGCGAATTCAGTGCCATATAATTAAGCGAAACAATGAACAGCATCGCTCCAATATGACACACAGACAAATGCTGCCCTTTCAAAACTATTGAAGACCTAACGGCAATCTCAAAACACTTTTCAGCTACACCGAATAGCATTTGGCCAGTTCTTTACCGTAGCAAAGTGACAACACTTTTGTCATTGACCTTTCATACAGTTGCAGCTTTGGGATGCCCCACGCACACTAATAATGTATAGCTGAGCTTTGCCAAAGCATAACCACGTGAAAGCTTTAAGCCAACATGACTAAATCCACGGAAACCTCGGAGCCCAGTGCAATTAGATTTTATATTGCATGATGTTTGAAACATCAACAGATGAGTTAAATTGTGCTTGGACAAACAAGCATTTTTATAATAATAAATTTGAAAAGAATGCTCAGCTAGAAGCCATAACGAAAGCCACTATTCACAATAGATTAGGTGAAATTTGTGGTGTATCACCAGATGAGTACTGCTATTTAGAAAAGAGCCTTGCAGACTTGCCAATATTGTTTACACTTCATACTATATGAATAATATGACAGTAGCCTTACAAAAAATATTAGATTAGATAGTCAACGAGTATTACTCTGGCAATACTCAATTTGCTTTAAAGACCTGCCATACGGCCAAATTTCTAACTCAAACTGTTTCAGTGTGCTCTTCAGCTTACATAGGCAGTTCCAACTGAACAGCAACAAACCTTGAACATATTTTAAAAAAAGCACCAGATGACATAGGTAGAAGGCGATGTTTGGCACCTTATGTAGCAGACACAAAAGTTTGTGTTTCCACATGCCAGTGCAGTTATTTTGATGGCAACACTGGAGGCCCAGACTCCAGTGCCCCCCCCCCCCCCCCCCCCTCCATTCCAGTTTCAATGAGTGCCCTTTACTGCGATGGTATGATTTCAAACAGGTGTTTTGATGGCACTAGAATATTTATAAGTGCATATACACTCTAAATTTGAAAGTGTCACACATAAAAGCATACAGGGTTCATGCTCATTTACATGACAAAAGTTCAGTGGTGTTCAAAGACTTTCAAGGGTAATATAACTGGAGCAGATGCCAAAAACATGGCTTAATGACATTTTCTTTCCAGAGAACTAAGAAACTACGCAACAACTTGCTGCTTTTTCTGAATATCAATATCCACTACCTCCTGCGCCTCGACAGTCTTCCTATGGCTGTTTGACTTGACGATGCACGTCAAGTCGCTAATCATCTCCACCTTTTCTGCCCAAGAGTTTGCTGTAGCTTTTAGTTTCTTCTGTTTTGTACGACTTCCTCCTCAATGCAGCATTTCTTCTTCTGCCATTTTTGAGTTTACAGAAATGAACGGTGTTGGTTCCATGCAGAAGATACTGATGTTCTCAATTCCTTTGGGGCATATTACATATGCTCTCCCCCCCCCCCCCCCCAGCTACATTTACGGTATCACAATGTGCTGTGAAATGTGCGGTTTATTAATAATAAGGAAATTCGAGCACATTCAAGGATTTGCAAAAATTGCAGCACTTTCAAAGCCTTGAAAAAAAACTTTTCAAATTCAAAGGTTTTCAAGGACTCACATGAACATAAGCATCAGACATGTGCACCGTCAAAGATTTAAGCCTCACAAAAGCGTACTTACATGCTCTAGTAACCGCATTAACTGATAACGCCAGCTGTAAAGCAGCTAGTAAAAGTTTGGAAACCAGCTTGGATGCAAAACCTTTTTAATATTGGCAAGATGCTACAAAAATGTTCTAGACATGCCCCCAAGAACGGGTCTTTACAACTCACTGCCTTTCTTGTACATTCGCCACCGTTTATTTCAGCTACGAGAATGCAAAGATTTTACTAGTTTGAAGCAAAATGCTTCAGTACTGAAGCAACTCAAATTGATTTGCCTTTGCAAAAAGCAGTATGTAAAGGTAAATGGGCCATCTCAGTTTCAACTTTATTCTTCCTAAACTGTTCCATATTTTATTTTGACCTCTTGTGTGCTTAACAAGAATGCTTTTGGCTGTCACTTTTTTTATCTTTTAGCTTTGTTACTTTAAGGTATTTACATACCAATTTTTTTTAAACATGGGTACAAAATTAAAATCTACCTTCTCTCAACAATAAAACTGTATGACTGGGAAATGTTGCACACTGATTAAATATGACAATGCCAGTAATCCCTGGAAGATTCTTACATTTATTTCACAAGAAAACAGTGTCCCTGCTCGTGAAGTGCTACAAGACAAACTTACCAATTGTTTATTCTTGATTATAATTCACTTTCCCCACAATTTGATTCAGGTCGTTTGGAATGCATTTCAGTAAAATCCTACAGTAGCAGTGTAGTCAGTCGACAGTTTTCCAGAAAAGGTAAATGTAGTTTGAGTAATTTTCCAAGACTGATTGCAGGAAACAAAATTTTACTTTAAGAAAGCATGCGTTGATAGAGGTGACAACATAAAGCAATGTTTAGGCTACAAAAGCGTTCCTAGTGAGAAATGCCTGATCAAAACTTCCAAATATGGCAGAAATATTCAACCGCTTTAGCCATATTTGTAATAGAAAGAGATCCATGCAGAAGAAATGATGTAAAAGAAATTAAGAAACCCTCGTGACCATTTAAAAGGCCGGTCAAACTATGCACTCACAATAGATGAAAAAAAAAATTTGGGTCAATTACCCCACCGCATCCCCCTTGAAACAGACTACCCTTGTCACACGGGTAGTCTAACCACAGTTAAGCACGATGGCTGTTAAGTTTAACGCCTGTTGTATCTAGCCTCACAGCAACCCTAAGCACCGTTAATCCACTTACAACAGTTTTCGTAAACAGAGCTAGGCAATCCCTGTTAGTGCTGTTAAACTGACAGCTTGGCGGCCCCCATGTCAGATGAGAGTAGCTCCGCTCCCAGCGAAATATCCAGCCAAAAGAGAGTCAACTGAATCGTTGCGACGACAGATGCATTGATATGTATTTGGCAAGCTAAAACATGTGTATAAGCACCACCAAGGAAGACTTCCCATTTTTAATTAGGCCTCCGCCTTCACAACACGGCAGCCACTGAGATGTGTAGCTAAGAGTCTCGGTAGCTATCGCATTGTTTCAAACCTGTAGCTAAACAAATAATTTTTGCACAGGATGGCGCAGTTCTTGAATTTGTGCAATCATTTGCTACTATTAGCACTATGCGTGCTAATAGTAGCAATAGTAACATCAGCCCTGTCTAAACTTGAAACAGTGTTCATTACATGTGAACAAGTTTGTCTGCGATGTAAACGTGTGGCAGTGCCTCTGTCTGGTTTACAGTAACTGTGCTTACGTCCGCTAACTGAAGTTTGGTATACCAGCTTACTGTGTGACAAGGGTATAACGTGCATTACATTTGCAAAGAATGCACATTAAATGATGCACTTTTCATTGTGTTGACAGCCATCAACAAATTTTGGTTATGGCATTGACAGCAGCAATCTCCATGTGTGCAGCTATTTTTCATTCTGCCTTTATTGGCAATGTTCTGAAAAAAGTACAGCGGCAGAAGTTAGCGGCTTAGTGGAACTAATCACTACCTTAACATATCCGAGATTAGCTAGGTTAAATAAGGATCACCACACAAGCACACAAGACTGGATGAATGTGCACTACCCACAGTTCCCACTGCTGTGCATTCAGCACTGGGCTCGTTTCTCAAACACTGCAGACTTGCTGGAAAGTTGTGGCACATGCCAATTGTATTGGCGAACTAGTTAAAGAAATATGGGAAAGTTATAAAAGTTAGGGTGGGGGGTCAGCATTTCCGTAGATTTGATATGAGACATGATAGCGCAATTCAACATTTGCAGTTTATGCTAGAAATCATTGTAACCGCATTAAATTGGTTTCACTGGCTACACTCGCAAACTAATTGTGTCACCTTCCAAAATCTGTGAGGCCAAGTGCAGTCAAACGTGGGAAGAGCAAGTGAAATTTTTTTCATCTCCGACATTATGCACACATGGCTTTAAGGCTTGCCCATCAACCAGATCACACAGGTAGCAGCATGAAATCATTTTTTTAATGTTTATTTCCAATTATTTTCTACTTGTTTCATGCGTGCCCTGTTTGTCTATGATAGCACACCACTGCATCAAAATGGCATAGGAATGAAAGAAGCAACTGATTCAGAAGGGTATCACTGTGTAGGTGTTGAAAAAACAGCACTGCTAGAGCACAACTTTCACACGCAGAAAAGCCCTTTAACCAATGCCTGGCAGGACAGCAGCTGCTCGTCTAGATCTCACAAGCTTGGTCTTTTTATATTATGCATCACTGCACTAGGAAGCCATTTTGCAAATCTATAAATTACAAGACACCAAGGACGTAAGCAACCCAGTTTCACATTTAAGGACAGAGAGTTTCCTGCAGCATTGTGCACAGAGAAAACGGGTGCCTTAGAGGGGCAATGCAGTGCGCACGCAGTCACGCCATCGTGATCCACTTCTTGCAAGAAAACTTGGCCCAAAACATGACTGCGACAGATAAATTTTTGAGCAGTCCCTCCATTCCACTATAAAAAAAAAATGTGCAAGTGGTGCACGACACACACACACACAAACCAAAAGCATTGGCTGACCTCCGTGAGCTGCCAGCAATAGTGTTCACGTGTTTTGGTGCATGCTAAACCGCTACGACAGATCCAGTACACAATGCCCACTCTTCTATTGAAACCTTTTTTTCCCTTTCTCTGGCGGTAGTTGCAAAATTCTCTCTGCCCAGTGTGCTTGTGGAAGAAGCAGCTGCCCGCTAGGGTGGGTCACAAACGCTACCACAACAGTCCCAAACAAAACTGTCTGGAGGAGAGACTAGATGGGAAAAGCTGCACGCACACACAAGAGGAGGAGCAGGGCGGCTGGCCTCTCGCTTTTTTATTGGAGTAGCTGACAGCAGGCCCATCGACAGCGGCAAAGGAATGTGTCTGGCTGAGGGGTCCCGGAGCGTTGTGGCAAGCCACTGCGGACACCCAATTTTTTTTTATCTCGTTTTGCTCACTTAGTCTTATCTGTCTTCACTAGAGGTCCTCAACTCGCAAACAACAACAACAGTGACTCGAAATGATGAACTGGCAGCAGCTTTTCACTCTTCACCCTTGGTGCCTCGAACTGTGCCTTTCTTGCGTTGCTGCAAGGATTAGAAACACCACCGGTGACAATTATTATCAACGCAACTACAGGTCCTTCTTTTGAACACACACTTAGTTTTCAAGGTCCAACAACAAAGTTCACACATACTACTAACAGCTCACGGCTGGCTGTGTGTCGTTGATATAAAATTAACATGAACTCTGTACAGATGCATACCTGTCAAGTTTAAGAAACCTGGATCCAGAAGGTTTCTGCCCGTAAAAAGGAGGAGGGGGGGGGGGGGGGACAGTAAGTGCGCCAAATTACTTCATGCCTTGCCTTCCCCTTTTTAGCACAAAAACCATCCAAGACCCACGGGAAGGGGGGAGGAGGGGTCATACTGCACAGCCCTTTCCCAAATAGCGTACACATTGGCACTGCAGTGCAGTATATCATAGAGTAACACACAAATTGCACGAGTGGTCACTCCGACAAAAATCGGCGGAGATACACAGCTTCACGTCTGCCATAAGAAGGCAATGCATCCTTCACTGCCTTCAAGAATACGCGCGTACTAATTATTCACTAAAGTACCTTTTTTAGAGCATTATACGTTTACGTGTCGTGACTGCAATTGTGGCTTTCACTGGCTCACATTGCGGCTCTGAATCTCTTTATCGCCTGCGATTGGGCAGTTCGATATCGTCAGGCAGGATCCGGCGCGAATCGAACGCAAGAGAAGTGCAGGTTGTGTTGATGCGGTGGCACTGTTATCATGCTCTGTGTTCAAGAGGATTTATGGCAGCGAAGACATACTGACAGCAACAGGAAGACGTGATAAAAGATGTGCGATAAGCCCGGCGCCTGCCGTGGTTTTTGCTTGTTTCGTCTGCCTCTCAGCTTGGCTGCTGCTAGGTACGAACGCCATCATGTCTTTGTAAAGTGCATATTTCATTCGTGATTGAAGCCTTGAACTAACATTCATTGCATAGATGCTAGACTGCCCAGACGGCGCTGCGAAAAATGCAGCCACCAGCACCCCCATCGCCGCCTTAGCCATAAATGGGTAGTTTTGAAGAGAGCTGTCCGCATGCGAACGTGCCTAGGCCCCCGTCTTTTGTTGGTCTTGAGGCCCGGTTTCCTGAAAATCAAGGACCTCGCAAACTTTTTCCTTCAATCCAATCTCGCTTCAGGAAAGTAGGAAGCTCACCAAAACAAACTGTGGGTACAATGCAAACGATGTTTCAGTTATTTCAGCGTATTGCAACCGGCAATTTGGAGGGACTGTTTATCGCTCGAAAAAATTTTTCCAATTTTGGCGCAAATGAAAAGAATATTCATCACATCAGCCGCAAGCAACATGCTTTCATGCCAGAAAAAAGGAATTACACTTTTAACTTGATGTTGAAAGTTGATTAAAAGTTCCCTGTAGCATCACCCAACAGCAAATGTGATGAATTGTGACAGTATAGGTAGGACAAGAAATCCTTGCAAGTAGACTTAGTTTGCTTAAAAACAAACAAGTATAACTTGTGATTGTACTAATTATGCACTTGAGGCAGCTTTAGGTTGCGCCAGAGTCTATTTGTGTGTTTTTTTTCTCTCACATGTTCAAATAGGCACCCGCTGGCACTGCCGGTGGTGTGTTCGCTTGCCTGCAAACCACAGAGAAACGCGAGCACGGCGTCCGCCGCCGCTCATGAGAACAAAAAAAAAAGTGTGTGCGTTCCTAAAGCAACCACTAAGGCATTTGTTTTATTAATAAACAAAACTTGATTATGCTTGCAAAAACTGCACGCAGTTTCAGTTTTTACCAGCACGGGCCAAGGTTGTGGATATTTATCTCACTGCTGCAAAGAGATGGAACACGGACATAAAAATTCAGTTTTAGAAATTTCTACGCACTTTCTAGAGAAACTGCTGCAAGGTTAAGACACTTCACAGGGTACCCTTTTTGTTGCAACACAGAACAAGAGAGCAATGATAGATGGTAAAGCGCAAGCGAGCATCGTATGACATCAAGTTCAAGGAAAACACTTCGACGTGCGATCTCTAGTGCCTAAATACGTTAAACTTGGGCATGCTAATGATGAGAAAAAGATGAAGTGCATACACGAGCAATCTATCCCATGATCTGTGGTATAAAGCTCAATTTATCCGGCTCGAATGGCCCTGAGGATTTTTTTTTTTTGTGCTGCATTCTCTCTCGCTTCCTGTGTTAAACTGTTTTATTACATATGCTAGAATGCTCTGCTGACAGTTGTCTTCCGTTTGTATATACTGCAAATGAGCATACATGTGTGTCCACTTGCTCGATGTACAACGAAAGGCAAAACAGAGGCCTCCGAGATAGCTTGGGCAATCGCGGAGACCAACGGCAAGAAAAACCAGACTGTTGTTGCAATCATTTTGCAATTCACCAGTATGACGTATCTGTTCGCATTTACTAGTTAAAGCCGAAACTTAAAGCCTTCGAAGCCCTACGTGCATAATGCTATGCAGCTGGCAACAACTTCAGATTATCAGTGTGCAATGTTTATTGCGTGCGCCGGTGTACAATGTTTATTGGGTGCGCCGGCACGCAATAAACTGTTGCACGGCACGTTTACTGTTGCACGGCATGCACTGCAATCAGAGGCTTTGCTAAACATCATAATCGAATTAGTTACCACGGTTGCTCATCAAGGCTACTCAAAACAATAACAGCAGACCTACATTATCACACCTTCTCATGCGACTGGCTGTGGAGATAGCGAGTCATTCGCTAACTTAAAATGTTTGCAACAGATTGTATCCAGCGCTCTTGCCATTCTGTTTTGCAAAAGGTAGAGAAATCAGTAAAACTAAAATCCTTTACTTCCGTAACGATCCACAATGCAACAGTAGCATTGACTGAAGTTTTTTCGTAGAGCATGGAGCTGTTGCGTCCGTTATTGTTTTCGCCGTCATTCTGGTGAGTGAACCAGCAAGCACTAAAGGCGGTTCAGTGAGACGTCCGACTAGCGGAGAGAATCGCATAGCGTTTTCCGAGTTTTCAGTGCAGAAACATACCTAATATTTCACTCAATCGTTGTTTTGCACGCTGTAGTTGCACCTGTTTCAACATCAGACTGTGCAAGAAAACTGGGCTTTGCGCTATAACTGCGTCGATAGGTGGCGCTGCGTGTCCGCAAAACTCTAGTCTGACGTCTATTGTGCTGTTCGGTGCAGAGCGCTTTTCTGTGCTCGACTTATGATTTTTATAGATTGCATCACGTGGGAAAAAAAATGTTTCTTGGCTGAAAAAACTGAGTCGCCGCTTGCGTTGTAAGGTTTTCTTCTTGCCGGTGCATGTATTTCAATGCCGCGAATGTGTGAGAGATTGTGTGATTGATTTGTGGGGTTTAACGTCCCAAAACCACCATATGATTATGAGAGATGCCGTAGTGGAGGGCTCCGGAAATTTTGACTACCTGGGGTTCTTTAACGTGCACCCAAATCTGAGTACACGGGCCTACAACATTTCCGCCTCCATCGGAAATGCAGCCGAGTACCTTAGCCACTAGACCACCGTGACGGGGCGTGAGATTGTGTGAAAAGTGCAGTTATGCTTAGTATCGTTATCAGTGGCATTTGCAAATTGCTTGAAGCGTATGTAACAAGCGCAATAAAAAAGAAGTGGCACATCTAAAAAAATTTAAGCAAAGCTGCATGATCTTCCCAATAAATCTCCTGCCTCGTTAACAGCTTGCATTGCACCTACTTCCAGCTGTTTTTCATGGAAGAGTGATGCTAGTTGCTTAAGAGAAGATGTGTCATGGTGAGAAAGAAAAGGTAGCCAACATTTTTTTTTTCCTCCAGGATATATCAAACTCTGATACATTGAATTATTGGCTATATCAAACAGTCGAGAAATTTTGAAATTCCCATGCAAAGGTATGGGACTGGTGCACCTGTATATCGAACTCCCGCACAACAAGACATCCGCTATATCAAACGCCGGGCCGCGCCGAAGGCCATAAAGTGCCACTTTCCTAGAAAATATTGATCAATTTTCGACCGCTTTCTAGTAACTTATGATCTCTGAGTGGGCAGGTGACGAAAAGACTAATTCTATCGCGCTGATCTGGTTCGCTGCGCAGTGCTTGCGAGTGCACCGCTATGTTTGATGTGCGATCTACAGGTCTTAACGCACGAGCATAGCGTTTTTCACAAAAACAGATTGCCGATGACACCAGATGAGAATGCGAAGCGACTCTGCGATCTCGTTGCATCGTTCGCATTCCCTTCCTTGTTTGTTAGTGCACAATGGCACACGAGCCTGAAAAGCATAGCCTTTGAGATGTGCAACCTCGTGAAGTATTTATGGTGTTTTCGGTTTTAAAACGCACCACCTCTTGGAGTCTATGCTTTTTCTACCTTTTCGCATCAATGCAGCTAAAAGCAGCAGCTGCCAGCTACAAAGGCACAAGTGACATCGCTATCACCAACACATCAACTGTGGAAACTCGACGTTGTCTTTTGCCCTTTCTGGATTTGTTAACTTCTCGCCTCGTTCCTGCAAAAAGACTAATTCTATCGCGCTGATCTGGTTTGCTGCGCAGCGCTTGCGAGTGCACTGGTATGTTTGATGTGCGATCTACAGGTCTTAACGCGCGAGCATAGCGTTTTTCACAAAAACAGATGGCCGATGACACCAGATGAGAATGCGAAGCGACTCTGCGATCTCGTTGCATCGTTCGCATTCCCTTCTTTGTTTGTTAGTGCACAATGGCACACGAGCCTGAAAAGCATGGCCTTTGAGATGTGCAACCTCGTGAAGTATTTATGGTGTTTTCGGAATACTCATTCAGGAGTTGAACTGAACGTTGACCCTCACGTAGCAATAAAAATTATGACTGGTGATTAGAGCGACGTCAAGTAAAGCACAGTCAAACTTTTCTTGCGGGACAGGTGACTACTTCGGGTGGGCGTTTCCAACCACCATCTTGGACAGAGAGCGACTTATCAGTGCAGATGACGTAACTGTTTCTGACTGCATTGATGACGAGATCATGGCTACCGTGTCCAAAGCCACAG